CGAACATCATCAATCGAAAATGTTCGATCAAACGAATAATCAAGGTATTTATGGAGTAGTATAATAATCATTAAAAATTGCATATACTGTTCAACGAGCAAGTGAAGTTATGACCATTGTAACAGCGTTGACCTCAGAGTTGGCTAGTAAGTCCATTACATCAACGAGTATATAATTTTAATTTACACGATTTTGAATGCACAATCATCATAATTTTTAATCGAGAATTAAATTACAATTGGCATGAATATTAAATAAGAATCAAATATAAAAATATTTCATTCGTTGTGAAATTATTCATCCTATTCAGGCAGCTAATAAAGTTTCTCCTTTTTTGAAAATTAGTCTAGTGTAAATTTTATAAATAAATTTCTAGATAGTTAAATATAATTTTACATTAGCATTATGGTGATTTTACTCACCTTATTCATAATAACCGGTTTATTGAACAGCTTCTGCTGACCTCGCGTCAGAGTGTAGCGTGCAGGAACAAGCTTCGTGCGGCTCGCGTATCAATGTTCGTGACAGACTGATTATGGGGACTGAATTTTAATTCAGCTAAGTCGGCTGAGCATCAAACTCCTTCTAATCAAATATCAACAAACCCAGAGATAATAATATCAGGATAGCTGCCTGCAGTACGTAAACACTGTTGGATTACGGGGCGATCAACAACATGAAACAAGTCACATAAATAAATCAGCTACTGAGTCTGGATGCTAAATCATATTTCCTAAATTACTTAAGGAAGGTTTGAGTTAATAATTCATATAGTTACAATTGATTGTTTTATTAAATGTCTTCACGGACTCAATGAAAACGAATGTAAAAATTCCATCTTACTTTAAATTTGATGCGATCTCCCTAAGCTTGCTCAACATTACCAGTGTTTATGGCACGTTGGTTGTGGGCTGAGTGAGAGCTACTTAACTCGGTTCAAAAGGGAAGTCATGTTAGATGGGTAATTAGGTTGACAAACTCAAGGTACAAAGTTGAGGCATCTATTGTCTGAGGAACCTATTGAATATCCGGCCAATGGAAGTTTCTCAATCGGGCTCGTTAGAATGTATGGGACGTTTACAAGCTTTGATTGCAGATGCACTGGTTAGTTTGGTGTGTCTTGCGGGGTTCAGTTAAATCTTAGAATCATGTAGATTGCTTGTATAACATAATAAATCATGCAGGTAAAAAATGACTTGCTCTTTCAAGATTCGGAGATGACTTCAGTATTTCTCTAATGTAACTAAATGCATTGTGAGAGACTACTATGGAAGCAAATCAGTAAAATAAATATTTAATGGTCTATCAAATTTACTGCATGATTTACAAACTTTATTTTTATTTTTTTGCCGTGTCATTTAATCACACCGATTTTGAATTTCAGAGACATGGTATCAAGTTTAAAATCTCGAGTCAAACAAAATTTACTCCTTTGTTGACTCGCGGCCCTTAACTTTAATAGAAAATTTTCCCGTTAGTGACGCTGAATTAATTCAATTGAAGTGAAGCTTAAGTTTTTATCCAACGTAGGCACTTTATTCAGCCTAAAATTTAAATTAAAGTTTTAAACATTTATTTCTTAAAAATTATATGATTTTTAATTTAGTTAAAGTAGATATTCATTTGTTTGAAATAAGTTTCGAATATCTCTTATTTTACGTTCGTTGAAACGGATTCTCCATCGCAACGGGCAGTGTATAGCGTATTCGTAGTCTGTAAAACTTAGTAAAACTGAATCTTGTTTCCTTACATTATACTCATAAGAGTTATGGCCCCGTCAACACTCGCGTGCAGATGACCGTGTATATTAAAGGTCCTTTGCACGCTCTCCTCTACCAGAATACTGAGCATGCAATCACTCACTCGGCTTAGGGGACAGGTTTCCCGAAGACTTACTTTATTTAGTCTTAGGATAATGTCCTTTGTGCCTCTCGCAGACATTTATCGCCAGGGCCCGAGAAATATTCGCGCTCTGCAACACAAAGGTACGAAAGTCTTTCATAAACTCCCGCCTGGTCAGTTATTATTCTGGAAAATGGCACTGTTTTGGGCCGAATAACTCCCGATTGTCGAGCCTTCCAAGATGCTGGGATTTCCTCTGCTGCAAAAAACGTCCACTGCAAATGATGAGGTTGGCATGGAGATGAGGATTGGAAGGCCAAAAGTTCGGCCGCGTGAGCGAGAGCTTTTTGGTTATGAGAATAAATAACCGAGGCTGGAATGCAATTCCATAGGCTAAGGTATTTTTATATGATCGTTCATATGCGCACGTTCATTTCTAAATAATTGTACGAGATAAACGATTTATTACAATACTACAGAAATAAGATGATGCAAGGAACTTTAGTAAATTTAGGAAGAGTTAAAAAAATGCAAAAGTTCAGTTGCCTTCTAAAGATTGATCCTTTCGGATACATTCGAGCCTTCAGCATGAGTTTGAGGGTAAAGTCGGCTGCCAATGTTTAAGGGGTTTATGTCAGTTAGCCACCACAAACGATTTCCACTGATGTGTCCTATCAGCCGTTCACTAAGACGGATCACTTGCGATGTGCGACTCAGATGCCGCAGTGATCGCGTCTAAGTAGCGGGACGCCAGATCAGCATTACTAGCGATCCGTCTTTCCGGGATTCCTCAACTCTTTCTCTGGTCTTGAAAACTAATCTGAGCTCTTCAAAAGCTTTCTTCTGTTATATTATCACCATTCTACTTCCTACTATTATATCTGTATTTAATACGTAAAACGCGCCTAAATAAAAATTTACCTTAAGTGATGGTAATATTAAATTACCTGAATGTATTAACTAATTAAGCTATATTCAATGTGGATCAGTATATGCAGAGATTGCGTGCACATCACAGTTGGAGATGAAAATTCTAAAAGAGCAATAAAAATATTGATTACGTAGCTCTGAGATTGAGTAAAATTATTTATAGAAGTTTATTTTGAAAATAAATTCACCTGAAATAAATGCGGTATTTATGTCTTTGATCAAAACTGTCATGTTATGCAGAGCTCACTAGATTCCAGACAAACAATCCCTATCACTGCCATAACCTGGTGATAAAACTGTGGAAGCGATCGAAGACCACGTTGAGCCCTTGATATGTTATAGACTGCATATCAAGAAAAAAATATTTAATTTTCGTCTTAGTTCGCCTAGAGCCTAATAGTTGCCTCATGGGCACAAAGCCGTTATCGCAACCTCACAACCGGTCACGCAACCATTGGCTTGCATTGATCGCTGAATGCCACAGATTGATGGAGCTCCCTACCATTTTATTCACACGAAAAATGGATCATAGGCAGTGTTTCTCAAGCATTCTTGGAAACCAGAATGGCGGAGCTAAAAATTCGACGAAAATCTTTCCGTTTTTATGCTGGGCGCATTAGCGTGAAGGAGCTAAATGAATGAAGTCCATTCACATAGTAGCAGTTACGAAGAAAATATTTTAAAGTTTTAGCTTCTCCTACCGGTAAAGTCATTTTTGAAGATTTGACTTTTATAAAAGCATCTGAAATTCAAGATGAATTATGTAAAATTCCATCAGCTTAAATAATTCACAGCAGTAAGCGAAATTCTCATGGCTGTCGTTCCAGTGAAAAATTGAATTATTTTGGAAAGACAACGGATTGAATGATGCAATGATGCCTTGTGCGAATTTAAGTGATCACTAGTTCATTCCGTTAATGATCGATAGATTGATAAGTACAACATTGGAAATCATCATTTAAATTATTCGGTTATTAAATTTTTAAAATATCGAAGAAAACATTCGATTATTGATTATTTTCTATTAATTAATGAATATTTCCATTAATTTAGAATTTTTGAATTTCTTATAGAGTAAAGTAGATAGCTCGGTTTCCGGGAGCTAATTTGTTACATAACTATCTGAGTTTTTATTGTTTGCTAAATTTTCGATAGTATGTGATATGCTCAGAAAATAATAAAAGAATCTACGACATGCTGCAATTGTCATCTGAGCTCGTGACTCTATCATTCCAGTGCCAATATGAGATTTACATGCGCTCGCTTTTTAGGCAAATGCCAGAGCTTTTGATATATAATCTCTGGACAGAATATTGCTTTTTGGCCCGAGAACAATCTTGGTACGAAGTGGAACCCTTGCTCGTCCAATGCATCCCAAGTATTGCTTGCAGAGCTCTGGTTGGTCGACCGTGGACCTGAAGTTTGCACTTGGCTCACTAAGCCAAATATTGCTTAGATTGGGAGAAAGTCTCCCACTCTTTTATTTTCAGCGTTTTGGGAAAAAGCAGAAGAAAACACTTTTCTCCTTCTCGGGATCCGTCAACGTTGGAATAAAAAGTTATTTGTTTCGGAACTCCAGAATTTGAATAGAGAGGATCTTTCGTTGGCCCAGAGTTCCTTAGAAAATTAGAGCTACGGCGGGGACCGTCTTGACATATTTCCTTAATATTTTATCTGTTGCTAAGGCCAAATAATGCAGTCGGGGAACTTAGCACACATTTTATGGGAGACAAGATATTCGCGGGCTAACAATATGCGCTTGAAGCTGCCCCTGGAAGCTCAGCGTGGTATACTAAGTGGTAAAATGTAATCTTACTTTCCTAATAAAAATTTTAGAATATGGGAGGATGTTTTGTTGAAATGGAATTCAGAAAAAATTTACGGTGCAATTAATGAAAATTTCAACGCGAAATTGAATGTTCGATCTAATTCGAAGTTTCTCTAATCGATTAGATCTCTTCGATCTAATCGAAAACACTTCGATCTTCGTTTCGAAGTGTTTATTAGCGATAAATATCTGGCCTTATTTGGCATGTGGTCCATTAAAAACATCACAGAATTTGAATATTTTTATGTTCATTTTTTTCTGTCAACTGATAACTTCAAACTCGTAACTCGTTGATTTAACATCTTATCTACTCGGTCACCCTGTGATCGAGTAACTTAAATAAAAATTATATTAAAAAAACATGAACAAAAATACTAATATTATTCAAATTTATTTCCAGGCGAAGGAAGGACCAGCAGCGGCGGCAAAGAAAATGCTCACAAACCAGAGTCTCGGGCTAGTCGATCTACCTACGACGGCTCTTCTCCCGTGGTTACCCACGGCAGTGTCAAGAACTTGGCGTCTGAGGGGGACGAAGGCGAGACGTTTGACGTGTGGGCCTTAGCCATGAGATTGGATGACCCGGCAGCTCTTAGCGCTACGGAAGATTCATCAAGTCTGGCCGCGCGGGTGCTGAATAACACTGAGATTGTGGCGCAAGTCGGAGGCACAGCCACACTGAGTTGCTTCACTGGACACATGTCTGATGAAACGGTGAGTGATTGTTTGATTTCGTGTCTGAATATTGAACACAATTCAGGCATTCAAAAGCTTTTGACCAGTACTCACGAGAATGGAGATTATGCACGTGAATGAAGCAGTGAATGATTATTTCATATCAGGATTTAGGGACGTTTAGGTTTCCGTGAATAAAACATCATATAGAGCACATTAAAACCAAGCTGAGGAAGAGTTAGGTGAAATTTTAATTATCGTTCAAGGTTATAGCAATGGTAATAAATGAGCGTTAAACTAAAATGTGGTACATGCATTTCGAGATATTTACTTATTTGCTTCTCATAACTTTTCGTTACGTTTGTTTAATGAAATTGTGAGGAATTCTCCTCCCACTAAGTTCTCGCTCTACTCTCATAGCGACGCATAAAGTGTCGTGGGTTGCGGTATATTCAACAATAACCGATATTCACTGGTGAGGTTTTGAATGGTTATGACTGATATTCTCTGGTAAGGTTATGACTGGTTAAGACTGATGTTCTCTGGTAAGGTTATGACTGGTTATAACTGATATTCTCAGGTAAGGTTATGACTGGTTATGACTGATGTTCTCTGGTAAGGTTATGACTGGTTAAGACTGATGTTCTCTGGTAAGGTTATGACTGGTTATGACTGATATTCTCTGGTAAGGTCATGACTGGTTAAGACTGATGTTCTCTGGTAAGGTTATGACAGGTTATGACTGATATTCTATGGTAAGGTCATGACTGGTTATGACTGATATTCTGAGGTAAGGTTATGACTGGTTACGAATGAAATTCTCTGGTAAGGTTATGACTGGTTATGATTGATATTCTCTGGTAAGGTTATGACTGGTTATGACTGATATTCTCTGGTAAGGTCATGACTGGTTATGACTGATATTCTGAGGTAAGGTTATGACTGGTTACGTATGAAATTCTCTGGTAAGGTTATGACCACCAAGAGTTCCTGTCTTTGTGTCGCAGCTATCCACTTTCATGGGAAGTTTACGGCTGGCATTATCCTCATGCATATGCAGCCGTGCATAATCAAGCCATTTGTCATGAGTCACTGCAAAGTCCATGGACTTTCATTCACATTTCAGAGAGATCTTTCGTCAATTAGTGCACCTGCCATTTGAAAATGAATACAATTTTGATGTTCTAAATTAAATTTTTGTACTTTCATATGATTACAACTTCGTTAGAAATAACTGTCAGAAATGTATCGCAGAGTGATTTAAAGAATTATAGGAAATATATTTTAATAGGAATAAAATTCGTTGAAATTCCTGCGCCTAATGGTTATTGCGGAGAGGGGTCTGCCATCACAAAAGAAGCTGTTTAAGGGATTTAAAATTTCCGTGGTTGAGATGAAAATTGCCCTTGAAAATAACATGCATGGTTTCAATAAAGTCAGAAGAAAATAACATGGATGGCCTCAATAAAGGCTGAGGAAAATAACATGTATGGCCTCACTTAAGGCCCTAAAGGACGAGGTTATGCGTCTCCCCAGAGGCACGGTAACATCTAGGTAAGGAAAACTAGAGACGCTCTCGCCTAGTTTATCGCCAAATTCGAGAACACTCGCGTAATTTTGCTGCCCAGTTTGTTGCAGTAAAAACGTCCACCGCGGCAATAAAATCTGCCCAAGCTGCGGTATTGGTTTGCAAGTTTCCCTTTACCTCTTCAGCAGCGTGGAAAAATTTTCTGCAAGCAGCTGATATATCGCAAGTTTGCACACAGACCGACGTGGAATGCGGTCGAACATTAGACTTGAGCTAGCACTGCTACATCGCAGACGCAAATTCAAGTTCGCGTGTACTGACATTCTTAACGTATCATTATTTCAAATGTACCGTCAATATAAAAGTGGTTCATATTTATATCATGATTTAAGAAAGTAAAAAATTTTGTATTTACTGGTAGCTTAAATTTAAACCGTATATTTATAGTCTAAGCATCATTGATAAGCAATGCATCCTGCAAGTTATAAGACTTTTCGTTCCAATGACGCGGCTAAGTAAGTCGTTAGCGTTTCTTGTGCATCATGTTAACAAGTTGAGTTCTCCATACTTCCTGCCGCTCACCCTTCTTCAGATAACTTCCTCACATAACTCAATTATAGGCAAGTTTGCTCACAGACTTGACAGAGGAGGAGGAACTTGTCCTTGTATAAACTCTAGCGCATCCTTCGTAATAGGAATGCAATCTCATTTCTATGGCTATTTCGTTGAGATGTTATAAATGTTGGAATGACATTTCAGAAAGGGCTTCTGAAGCACAGAAATTGAGTTTTATATATTTGCTACTCCATTATTGTCATTTATCATTTGCAACAATTTCAGTTGATCGCGGGCTCACTTCAGAAGATACTTTCAACTCTACGTTAATGTATTACAGGAAATAGAATAATAAAATTAACGACCATAAACCTGATTTGGTATTGGACTGACATTACAAGGGATGTGAGTGCCTTTAGTTCATTAAAGCGACCAAATGACTTTTAAACTGCATGCATGCATGGCACAACCAGCGAATTATGATATATGCAAGCTATGAACAGCGTTTTGCATGAACAGCGGCTCTGCTGTGACGCCGCTATCCAAAGTAATTTACATTTCAGACCCGATTCCAGCTAAGCGCTAGCTGCAGCTACTCAGTTTGTAGCTCAAGCAAGTAGGAATTTTGTTTATTACAAATAAATGAATATGGTAACTCCCTCATTAGCATATAAATAGCATGCCTGCCGAAGTTTCGAATTCCATTGTAGGGCTAGACGATGACCTTTCCATGATGTTTCATAAATGGTTGTGATGCTCATTATCTTGCCGTTCCTTGCATACAAGGGCGAGTGTTGTAACAAAGCTCTCTAGTAAAATTCCAAGTTGCCTGAAGAATGGGGTTGTTTCGCTAATTGCATTAGCATTTAGTTCAGATTAGCTCCGTAAGATCTCCCAATTTTGGTACGTTCGTGGAAACTGATTTTATCATAAAAAGAGCAATAATTATGGAATGCGTAAGTTAAATGAATAAAGGAAACCTTGCAATTTGTTCCGTAAACTGTTATATATCAATATAAATTATTATTTAAAACTACGAATGTTCAAATAAAACTGGTCCATAATAGATGTGGATTGCGTTGTTGATTTGAATAAATATCCTGGCGATAGTTCAGAAAATTATATTGAATATTGTTTTGTGGTTCAAATCCTCTTAGTTAGATGGATATTCACAACGCGCAATTTCAACACATTTGAGTAATTGCTATCTTTGGGGTAATATTACTGAAAAATACCCTAATTTATTTGTAAATGAACTAGGAATGGTATGCGGGTTCCACAGTTTACAAGAATAATAATAAAATTTAGATTAAGAATAATAATAAAATAAATAAATCCAGAATACAGGATTTTAGGAGTTCTTCAGTTTTCCAACAGAATAAATTGTTTGAATTACCTTCTCATTATTAAATATTGAAGACACATATTAAGTCGTGGGCGATTTCACGTACAACTGGAAAACTTACAGAGATAAATGAATAGACTTTACGATCTTGCGTCTTCAACTGAAATGCTATATAGGTTAAGAGCTCAAGGACACTCTAATACTAGTGAAATTTTATAGTCTAACAATTTCGCATTCTCCGGGGCCCAATCGAACACTAGACGAATGAATAGCTGTCACATCAAAGGGTCTCTCCTACGATTGAAATCGTAATTAAGACTGTCTAAGGATCTCTCAATATTAAATCAAGAATGAGAAAAACTTCGAACAATCAAATAGTAATTAAATGCACAGCTATCTTTTTCCTTGGAATTACACCGAGGAATTGGAATCGCAGAAGTGTGGCTATCATTAAATCGTTAGCATGACGGCAGATTATGATTCTCAAGCCTCGTGCTTTTGTTCTTTGGTTGAAGGAGAATCGTTTTGTCAACTTCAGAGACCAAAGCCAGGCTTATCGATCATGGCTGCTGCCCTCATCCACATGCAACCTGAGAACTGTTCTTTGCAGCTATTTCAGAATTCCGTGTACACTCAAAGAAATCAGAAACTTTGTCTGAATAACGATGCTCTTCCTGCCCTTGTGTGGGCCATCTCAACACAGTTGCAAACGCAAAAAAACGTATCAGTGTTACATGTAGAAAGTTTGTTACTATTTAGACAATATTCCACAGTCATTTTTCTGAGAGTAGCATACTCAATACTCACGGTGTACGGAGGCATCAATCATGCGAGCCATCAATTTTATATGAATTGGAAGATAATGGAAGCTATCAGTTGAGCTATCACTCAATATTTGGAATTAATGAATCTAGCGTGGGATCTAATGGACACAGCAAATAACGATGGTGAATGATAGCTTTATGATAAACATTGCATATATTCGAGAACATCAAACGATTTATTCATTTTGTCTCAAGAATCGTCATATGTAAAAATTCATTCTCTTTTATCATTGTTTCGTCAAAGAAATCCAAAAGATAAAGGTCATCTGCTATATTTTTCACAATAATTGTATATCAACAAATTCGATCAGTTTTTATAAACAAAAAAGAACAACGAGAATATTTTAAGGGTCTTTTATTTGTGTTGAAAATGAGGCGATGATTGATTATTCATTAAATTTTGTTTCTATTGCCTTTCCGGCAGAGTAATGTAACAGAAAAATTACATTATATAAAATTTCGTAGCGATAAGAAACGTGTCAAATATATATATAGGAAAAATATTCACGCTTGAGAATGAGTTTTCGTGCAGTAGTTATGCTAATTTATTGCATAATGTGATTGCCTAGGTCGTCACCCTTACCGAGGCAGGCTCATTAAGGACACGCCTGCAATTCCTTGTTAGCGCTCGAGTAAATAACAGTCAAAAGGCGTAAAGTTGCGGAATGCGGGATTAATAGAAAAAGTGTCAGAGTGACTCGAAAATTATGATATTTATGACAGTCATGCGTAATTAATCATTAGTGATTAATATATGTATTCAAGTAACGACCACACGATAAATGATTTAATCGCGAAGCCAACACATTTGTTAAATGTTCATTCACTATCCACAAAATGAAAAATTTTAGATTACTAATTTAGTGTAGTGATATTAGTTCATGTTTAATTAGTACCGCATTTGACATGAAATGTGAAAAGGTTTTACTTTTGTTACGGTCAGTTCGTGCGCTGTGCTCATGTCATTGTTCAATTAAAAAGTAAAATGGAATAAATTACGTGAAGTTGACACCATTACATGAAATTAAAGGACTGGCAACGAGTTAACAATTAAATGCAATAAAAGTTTCCTGTGCTGCTCTTTAACTCAAAAAACAAATGCAGAGACGAGGTCATTCGCAACAAAAGTTTGGCAACGTGGAACAAAAGTTTCGAAACCACAAGTCCAAAGTTAGGCCTGCTCAATTAGAGAAACTGCAGCTGCTAGCAACAAAGCTAGAAGATTCTTCAGAAAAATTCGTATTCCTTGCGGCTGCCAGTGACTGATGATGCGGTCCCTTGTATCCCAGTCTGAGAAACATCAATGCTAGAGGTCTAGTAAACCTACATAGCTGCAGGAGATACGAGCCTTGTTTGTAGCTAAAAATATAATTTCATTAAACAGTTGCTGCATAGGCGGTTTCAAGATGCGAAGCATTTCCTGTTTCAAAGTTGCAGTTTTTTCACCTGAATATTACGTGTGGGGTCTAATTATATTTATTACTTTTCTTTGTTTTTTTTTTCAAATATACTTTAAAATGCAATTCTCGAGATAATTTTAGTGGAATATATTAATTTTTCTCAACATGTATATACTTATATTACCACAAACATCACGTCTAAAATACTGTTTGAGGCGTAATTTTTCTTGCAATCCAATTCTCATCGTGGCCTTGGTTTGATTCAGAAGAGCAGGCAGAAATTCCATCAGGAAAAATATGCTCTTCATTCCAGTTTGGTGCATGCGCATAAGCTGCTCATACAGTGAATAACGCAACAGATTTGAAGGCTTGTCAAAGACTGCCTAATGGATGTTGTGGCAGACTGCCGCACAACAAGCGTTATAACAAGTTGTCTTTGAAATACTTCAATCAAAGTTCAAGGTTATGAACCAAGACTTTTAATACCGCATTACACATGTCAGTCTCCTGACTGTACTGATCCATCAGCTATGAGCTAAATTCTGCAAGGACTGATTGACTAACAATTCAATTGATATATGAGCAAATATATTAGGATAAATGCGTCATGTATATTTTAATTTACTTCAAAAACATGAATAATAAATGAAATCATGATCATATGATAAATATGATTTAGAGAAGTAAAAAATGATTTAAGTTTATTGACGCGGCGATTATCCCCTCCAATACATTACCTCCCCAAGTGAAGTTCATAACGGGATAAGTGTTTTTTCTCCAAGTTAAATGGATAAAGTATGTAATATTTTTTTTATAAAATTTAAGTTCATTACGGTTTTAAGTGTTCATTCCTAATGTGGTGTGTATAACGGGCTTTAGCGTTCTCTCCAAAGTCAATTCATGCTGAGAGGCAAATTCAATACCGACTATAATGCGGCGAAGATAGAAAATTTCCCAATTGGCTTTGAAAACATGGCATATCATAAACTTTTTTTCCTATTTTTCCTATCTCAAAAATTTTTCCTATCTCAATTTATTTTTTCCTATCTCAAAAAGGTAATTGGGATCCAAATTTACAGAAATATAATGCCCGTTTACGCTGGGCGGAGGCTAGGCCTTATTTACGAAAAGTTCCCCTTTGGGATATTTTTTTCGGAAACTGTGTACGAAAGATTTAATAAAATTATTTAATGACTTCAGTTTCCGCGGTTCCTGGTAAAATTAACGTTAGCGTAAATGTCAGTCTCAAATTGCATCAATGATTTTAGGGGTAAAAATATTAATTCAGAGGCAAATTTCACATTAAATCCTTTTGCCTTTAATTCGTTTGACAGAGACATCCCATTGAAGTCAATTAAAACAATAAAAAACTATACAAGACTTGATAAAACAATTGGCTGGGAACCTTGATCTCAGCTCAAGACTACTTAAAAGAATAAAAAAAGGAAACAAAACTTGATAAAACAATTGGCTGGGAACCTTGATCTCAGCTCAAGACTTCTTAAAAGAATAAAAAAAAACAATACAAGACTTGATAAAACAATTGGCTGGGAATCTTAATCTCAGCTCAAGACTTCATCTCTGTCCTGGTATCATTTCCCTCGCCCTCGGCATCGGGTAGAAGTTCATTAGCTTGCCGGGCGGATGAGGGCTTCAGGGAAACGGCTTCCTTTTGCTCGCCTGCCAAGACGAATAATTAGCCCTTTGCAATTGCAAGCCATCCACGCCATTCTTTTCCCGAGGATAAAATGGCATGACATTGTCGGCTCAAGAAGTTTTCACTCCCATGAGTGTAAAGTAGATGTTTAATTTTGTTCACTGAAGAATGTCTAATTTATTTAACCGAATGTAACAGCTCTTTTTTCATGGTTAGCGAAAATGCTGTGAACAAATTGGGAGAAATTGCTTAATGGTGGAAGTCGGAATTTAGAAAATGTTTTGGCCAACTTAGAAGACTGTGTTTGCTATGAACTGTGACTGTGTTTGATATGAAAAATGACTGTGTTTGATATATAATTTATATTAAATGACTCGCTTGGATAATGGAAAAGTGCTATTTAAATTCTTATAATTTTCATCAAGATAAAAATCTGTACCTTCTAAGTTGATGGTTGCAGCGGGTAAAAATATAAAGTGCAATGATTGGCGGGAGAACTAGGGGAAATAATCCAAAAGAATTATCAGTAGAATAAAAAGAAATATCGGTGCAGTTATAAAAAAAACGTTATCAGTAAGAGTTATTTTGTTCGTTTATTTTAAAATCTACCGACTCTGACTCTAGATTCATTACATTGTGTTTATTATTTTTTTTGTAGTAGTTATTCCAAAGATTCAATTGTGACTTAAAAGTGGACTTGCCACGTTAAGTAAGTGCAGCGGCTACTCTATTGTTTTTATTTGATAAATAAAAGGGTAATGTCGTTATCATTGAGGGATATTCATTTTCAAATTTAGTTATAAAAGTCTATTTTGCATTTTACTATTGAAATGACATTTTTGTTTCAATATCTCAGTTCTACAGCAATATATTTTATCTGACTTAATGAAATTTAAAATACACATAGCATGATTGATAACACACATCAGGTTGGATGGGGCATTATGTTGTATTATTGACATAAATAAGATTGGCAGACCAACTAATTATGATTGTCGGCGCAAATGAGAATATAAGACCTAATTAATTATTATGATTGGCGCCACAAATAAGTTCGGAGACAAAATCTGTACACCGTGGGATAAAAATAGTGTCCCGTTTTCAAATCTAGTATGTTCAGCATTAACTTATGATTAATAGTGAGATGCCTTGACTACAACATCAATGCTAGAATTTTCAGTGACGTTATTTCCTCAAAACATATACAAATAATTGGTTGCTTTGAAAAGGTAATCCTTAAATCGTTAGTATTGACTCTATCGGTAAACTTAGTTCTTTAAAGTGTTAAATCTTATGTGAATTATTGAATATGTTCGAGAATTTGCTAAATAAACAAATTGCTTAGAAATTTACGAAATGTTTTGCACACCAGTAATATAATGGATAAATAACATTGTACTACATTAAAAAGTACATGGAACTATGGACGCAAGTCGAAAATTTTATCATTTCACCCAATTGTTGGCTGGAATTATGAAAGATATTGTAAGCAAATGCTTTGAATTATTGCTTCGACATTATGATTATATTTAATAATTTAATAATAATCATAATTAAAATTCTGGAATTTATTTGTGCAGGTAACGTGGCTGAAGAGAGAAGACGACCAATTACTCACCGTAGGTCAGCTAGTCTACGTGTCAGAGGAGCGACTGAGGGTCTCACAATGCCACCGAACTAAGGTAGAGTCTTTTCATGAAGCTCATTTTGCTCCTTTATACATAACGCATGTTCAATGTTGTAGTTTGACTACAAAAAACATGCTTCTTACGTCTATAGATTATCAGACAATACAATACATTGGGAAAAAAGATCGTCTGACCGTTGCCAGTAGCTCTCGTATCAAGGTTGCCTTCACATCAAATTAAGATATAAATGACGGTCGATCTCTCTTTTGAACTAATTAGTTTACATTTGATGTACATACAGTATATAAGTATTAAATTAAATAAAGTTTCCTGCAAAGATTGAAAATTTCATTGATAAATTTTTAATAAACATTGAAACAATCAGAGAATATACATATGCTAAAAGACACATAACACTTGCATGAACAAGTCTTTTGCAGTATTGAGTTGAGAGAACTGATCGATGTCATTCATATAATTTCTCTGTTTTATATAACTGTTAAATATTAGAGTAAAAATTCTGAAATATTAAAATCCTGGTATTTACTGCGTGCCTCGCGAGTATCAAGGCGGTACCATCACGGAATACATCAAGTTCATCTAGCGCAAAATATCAAGTTCATCAAGCGCAAAATATCAAGTTCATCTAGCGCAAAATATCAAGTTCATCTAGCGCAAAATATCAAGTTCATCAAGCGCAAAATATCAAGTTCATCTAGCGCAAAATATCAAGTTCATCAAGCGCAAAATATCAAGTTCATCGAGCGCAAAATATCAAGTTCATATAGTACTATACAAATGGCTAATTTGGATGTCAACTGTAAATAAGGCTGGGATGAGATACAGATAAGGTTTGAAAGTCAAACCTCTCTAGGTGCGAGCTAGTTCTTTAAAACGGGCATTTCGCAGATACGGAAACTAATTTGATATTATCTTATATAAATGAATTTCGTAACGATGCTTCGGTAGAGCAGCATTTATCATCAAATTGTAGGATGCTCTCATTTCTTTTTCATCATAATTGGAATAAATATCTTTAACCATGTTCCAAAAATGGAAAACAAATTTCACTTCAGGTCTAGGTTTAATGGAGTTTTGCATAAGATTAAAAATCAAGTCTTTTAAGAGGATAAATAAATATATTAAAATAATTCCAAATCAAAATAGGCAAGACATTATTTTTAGGTGTTTATCATGACAATCTAATAAATTATCACTAAATAAATCAGTCAATTAAGCCAAAATAAACATTCATTAATTTTTGCTAATGTTTTGAAACGTTTACATACGTTTATAAATCGCTTATTTGAATCGTATTCATCCATTTATATTTACATAACTAAAAATTCGTACGTTGGAATGACTTACCGTTGTAACAAGGAAAATAAAGCAAAATTGCGCATTGTTTAGACTCAGGATTATATATATTTCTAGCCAGTGGCCAGGTGTTGCTTGGGCCTGAAAATCCCTGCAATTTTTAGTCCCGTTATCCCTAATCCCATTATTTATCTTTTGTCCCTTATCTCGTAAATTACGATTATACTGGTGTGAATGCTAATGAAAAAAACTCGCACTTCACACGTAGAACGAATCTCCCAATTGACTTTCGTCTAAAAATTCAAAGAAAATAATTTCCGTTTTTTTTTTCATTAAATTTATATGTGTGAAATGGAATTTTTTTTTAAATTTTTGGTTCAATCCTACCAGTTGTGCAATGCCTCACTATTCTCTCACTAAGAATACGTTTTCAGGTCCAGGAAATATCTTGACACGATTAGTATCCTGGATACGCGTACAAACAGAAACGATATATTTACTGTGCCAGCCTTCAAAAACAAAAAAAAAAATAATTTGAGAAATATTCAAAAGATTTTGTGATAAATGTGTATATTTTTAGACATATTAACTCTTATATTTGGTTTATGCTCAAGCTCGAAAATTATTGAGACGGTATGTTCCTATAAGGAATTTTTTATCGCCTCATGAGATATTCATAGTAGTATTTTTGATCAATTTTGTCAGGGATGCATTTGCTTTGTGATTTCCAATGATTTGTGATTTATTTCTAAAGTTTTAGACTTTATTCAGACTTAAATTCAATAATTATTAATACAAATATTTGAACCTTACGGGACTCTATATAGACAGTGCAACTCTAAGGAAATGCCACTCACTTGCGCACTAAAAATGTTATTTTTTTAATTTATTCGAAATTGTCATCATTGAAATTTCTGCAAATTTCGCCCAGGCGTGGGAGTTGTTCATCAAAGACGTACACAAGAGCGACGCAGGACAGTACGAGTGTCAGCTCACCACGCATCCTCCGGTCTCCTATTTCTTCACACTCAGAGTCACCCGTGAGAACAATAATTTTTTATAAAATTAAAAATTAATTAATTAATTAGTAAAAAATTTATGAATCGAATTTTCTTGAAACATGCAATATAGTGACTAGGAATAAAATATTTACTATCAGTTTCTGGAAAAATATTGAATCATCATGAACACAACTATATATATCGGAAATAAAAATTTATATTTAATATCTTTTTGTAACTTAAACCTCACATTGACTGTACAGAGCAATTCCCATGTATAAGCAAGCTTAGACATCATGAATATGCCAGGCGGCTAAATTTAAGAGAGTCTTAACTCGGCTGAGAAATAGAGCAGTTCTAGTTCAGCTATCTGCCCCAACAGAGGCCGTCGCAGAAGTTATCGGCTCAAAGGAAGTGCACATCGAGGAAGGGTCGCAACTGGCTCTTGAATGTCAGGTTTTACGAGCACCCGTGCCACCAATTTACATATTTTGGTACCACAACGGAACCATGGTCAATTACAACCAGAACTTGATCGTCCGCACTGAGAACTTCACCTCAAGTTTGGTTGTGTCCAAAGTCACCGGAAGGGACGCTGGCATCTATACATGCGAGCCTCAGCTCGCGTCGCCTGCTAATGTAACCGTGCATGTGGTGACTGGTGAGTCTCATTGTGTTCATTGGTAATGTAACCGTGCATGTGGTGACTGCTGAGTCTCATTGTGTTCATTGCTAATGTAACCGTGCATGTGGTGACTGGTGAGTCTCATTGTGTTCATTGCTAATGTGACCGTACATGTGGTGACCGGTGAGTCTCATTGTGTTCATTGCTAATGTAACCGTGCATGTGGTGACCGGTGAGTCTCATTGTGTTCATTGCTAATGTGACCGTGCATGTGGTGACTGGTGAGTCTCATTGTGTTCATTGCTAATGTGACCGTGCATGTGGTGACCGGTGAGTCTCATTGTGTTCATTTTAGCGACTTTGTTTATGGATTCTTGCTGATGTAGATGTGGTCTAACAAAGGTGTTCAATACTTTAGTCTTTTGTAGGCTCCATCTCATGGTGGAACCAGTCTCGCAGTTACAATATTATTGAACGCTCAATAAATAATTTACGAGTCTTTTGTACGAAAAGTTGCAATGTTGCTTCGTTTCAGTGAACTTGCAAAGCCTGGGTAGAGATGTTGTTTTACCTTAAGTGTAGTTAATTTAATTCTCACTGGCAGAAGTTTGTTACCCATGCTAAATAAGAAATGTACAGCAACATAGGGATATCAATGGTTTTGCATTTGTTCTAAAACCGATTGTATGATTATCATCAATTTCAATTAATAATAAATGCAGCTGAACCCCCTACGAAAATAATGTCTTTCCTAATTACTGTTATCCTTGTCTGGGCATTCATAATATTTATTTATTCTGAACGAAAAAATTCTCTTGATTTCTTGCAGGGGAGCGACCGGCCGCAATGCAGCACGGTCACAGCAGCAAGGCTGTCATCAACTCGCCTGCTCACAATATTCTCGGCCTCCTCGTGTGCTTGGCCCTTGGCCTCCTCTTACGTAGGGATAACTTAAGTGAACAGCACACGCAGTTTGTTCTGCAGACGCCACGCAGCTCGCTGGGCAGCCCTTCTCTCACCAGCAGAAGATTGGGAATGTCAATATCGATACAGCGGCATGGGGGGCTGGGTCTAAATGCCTCAGTGGGTGAAACCTGCAATGGTCACATGGTCTCATTCAGGTGAATAGAAAATGCAATACGTTAATTATGAATGAATAGCCAGTACTGCAGATATGGATGTTGTTGAATCATACGGCACAATTTTATTTACATTGCATAGCAGCTAAAGTGCTGGGATTTGCCTGATGTGTAATTGTGTATAGTAATGACTTTTTTATATATGTGTATATATTAGATAATATGATGTTGGCTAACATCACGAAAGAAAGTAAATATTCGCGCATAATAAAAAACCCAGTGTAAATTATTTTATTATTCGCGGCAGAAATTACTGTGTAATCTCTTGTTTCGTTATTTAAATTGGCTTATGTCAATTTAACGTCTTTTAACATAATTTATTTTCATTTATAATACTTTTAAACCCCTTCCTGAGTTTTTAGCTGGTACATGTATATCTAGAATTAATTAGTGGAAGAAAAATGGCTATGTCTATATATAGTGAAAAAATAATGTGTGAGCGTACTGGGAGCTGACCTCTATGGAGATCATCAATCATCACCGCGGAATTATTTGGGATCTAAAACTCTACGGTTTTAAGTACGTTGATTTCACTATCTTTTTTTATGCCGATTCCTGATTTTTAATTTATAATTAAACACAGAAAATAACAATCAACTACAACTTCGCGTACAGCTGCTGACCGAAAATTAATTAATACCGTTTTGTTTAAATGTGGAAAAATCATCATAATATTCACAGATGAATCGACAAGCGCATCAACTGAATGCTCCCACTGAATTCAGTGGGAGCATAAATTACAAATTCAGTGGCAGCAAAAAATTTATAATATAAAATAAAATTAAGTATGATAGTCTGCTAATCTCAATGAAAACTCAGCAAATAAAAAATTTTCATGGACAGATTTTGAGCCTAACTGACTGTTGTTGCTAAGGTGTTCATCATTTCAGCTTACAGTATGTGTCAGTAACAATACTTATCGTCTAAAAGTCATGAATATTTGACTCGCTTAATTCAATTTAAATTTAGCATGAGTACTTGAATTCGAATTATTCAGCCCACGAATACGCTTACATTCGAGCCTCATCTATAACTCAAAATATAGTCAATAGAAATATTGAATAGACTCTTGTTCACGGTTTGTTTTGTCTTGCTGTTCATGCAAACTGCTCTAAATTAAAAAAAAATGAAAGTTTCAAATCGAACGTTAGTGATACAGTATACATGACTGCAGCATGACTTTTAAATTTTTTGATTCGTTTGATGAAAGAATTCTTTTTGATTTTAAGTTTTGCTTGGAAGGATTTATCTGATCTACTTATATCATTGACGAATGAAGGAATGTTGAAAACAAATTGACCTCCACATGCAGTGTGGAAACATTGAAATCAATGTCTCTGCAAAAATGATTAAAATTTATTATTTATAAATCATAATAATTATTTACTATACAGTTGGTTAATTATATTAATTATCAAGTCTCTATTATCGTAATAATTATTTACAGAACAATTATTTACTGTACAGTTCACTACCAAGCATTCAGTCTGTCAATAATTGCTGATAATTGACTGATACTCATTAACTTTTATTATTTAAAATGAGTTCAAGGACTTTAATTTTATAATCACAGGTAGTTAAATGATAAATGTTTTTATATTAAACCATGTAATTTAGATGTACCTGTAACTGGTATGTAAACTCCAGGTTCTGCCATGCACAGAATCAAATGAAATTCAATTTGCTCTACCAAACTGATCGTTGATCACTAATTATAAAGTCACCTGCAGTCAATCTTTTCTGCGACCGAAATCAGTGGAAATGTAATGGGCACGAAATAAATCACCACTGAATCCACTTCACGCAGTGGCAATCAAACAATGATTATTGAGAATAATTTTATATTCTATTCGTAAAGGCAAGTTGACCTCTGCCTGTCGATTGCATGATCTATAATTTTTAGAGGCTTTTTATTACTGTAATTGTAGGGGTTCTCAGTAAATCGAATACAAGAAATTTTAAATCGAATTGAATTCAAAAAGTTTTAATCAAAGTGAGATTTTAATAACCATGCAATTAGTTTAGATGTTGTTTCAGTATTCCTACTTCTCATCATAAATTGAGCCAATGCGATCGCTCGGAGATTCGTGAAGCTAAATTTGGGCTTCACTGATTGAACCATGAAATTATTCCTTATTGACTGGACCAGGTAAATTGAGTATTGACATAATTTTCAATGCCGTATTGTGTATTGCTTCGCTGTATCGTGTTTCAATTGTCGGAACAAGTAAAAGAGCGTATCTATTTCTGGGCAGGCTTTAACAGTTTTTTTTCTGTGGCTTATGATAAACCTGCTCGAGTTACAGAAAAAGTCTGGTAAGGCCTTTGCGTGCCCTCAGTAACCGTAGATTTTCAACGTTTAAAACAATCAACAGAGAATAGTTTAATACTTCCAATCTGCAGATTTAGCATTTAGGCGTTTTTCTGAGAATAAATCTGCACGCTTGCTTAAATTTCTTAATTTTTCAGTGGTTGTTCATAATAGTGCTGGATTTATTTAAAAGTGTGGTACCCCATTAACGTGAATGGCAATGTATGCTCCTCCGTTGAGCACAAAATGTCGTGTAAATAAAAAATGAACCAAAACAGAACAAAAAACGCTCATACATTCGAGGGTGACAATCCAAAAAAATTTTTAGACGGACAAGATTGATTGTTTAGACGACTTTTTTTGTTTGTAACAAGTCAAAGTAAGTTTAATTCCTACGCTGAGATCTTCACATTATGCAGTGTAACCTTTTCGATAATTTTTAAATCGAATTTAAAGTACTGCACATTCGTGTTGTTTGTTGCAGTGAGCCTCAGCAACTGAAATCCAAGTTTTTTATCCAGTTTTCGCCTACCTGCTCTTGAATGTACACGCGACGAGCTTAACTATTCACCAGTGATTGAATAATTTGTCTCTCCCTACGACATTCATCAGTTTGAAGCGAGTCCCTTCTGTAGCTAGATTGGACATACGCTATTCCTGGAGTGTTTAATTGATGAAAGTTGGCCTCGATTCACGGTTTCAACAATTACATTTTTAGGAAGAAGAATACAACATCTTTAAAGAATAACAACAAATGAAATGGTTAAAATAATCACTTGTACTCGAGGTTTTTATCCTTGCTGTGTTACATGGTGTGTTACATCCCATAATAGTGAGGTCTGTGTTTTCTTGGTTGGCTTGAATTGCGCGTCAACGAACGCTCAAGCACAGAGGTATTCTCTACCTTAGTGGGCAGAATTAAAGTACAGTGTCTTGACTGAAATTATCTATGGTAAGGATCCTACTTATACCGACTGAAAGCAAAGGTTTGGGCATTTTTTGTATATAGCCATATACTGAATGAGAAGCGGACTTCTGTTGAATTCAGAATCGATTCCTTCAAGACATAAAATTGATGAAGTCTCATAGTAAGTTCTACCCAGCAGTGCTCACATTTAAAATGGTAAATTGATTTCTATTATTACAACACTTCTCTTTAACTTCACTTCTTGTTTGTCTGTCTGTCTGTCTGTCTGTCTGCTACAAATCTTGCAATCAAAATTTAATACACTTCTACTTATCCTATCGATCTGAAATTTTGCCCACTTGTGTAAAGTTGGAGACAATGCATGAATCAAATGTCAAAATAAATGATTTTAGAAATTAAAAAAAAAATTTTCAATATTAAAAAAATTAAAAAATAATTTGGTCAGCTACAAATCTCATAACTGATATTTGACACACTTTTACCTGTCTATTTGATCTGAAAATTTGCACACTAGTGTGAAATCAGAGGCAATGCACGAATCAATTAACAGAATAAATAATTTTGGAAAAAAATTTATATATTAAAAAAATTTATATATATTTAAAAAATTGAAAAGGTAATTTTTTTTAATTTCGAAAATTAGATGAGAAATTCATTGTACGTCTGTAAGATTGGAGATACTGGATTCTTTGGAAGTGTTGTCTTTAAAAAGTAGTTTTTTAACGTATATTATTTTTCGTAATTTAAACAAAATAAAAGACGAATAACTTGACCCAGTGTTTTTGAAGGCGATTGATTGGTAAATACACGTTTTCTCATATGTTATAAAGAGCGTTGTAAAAATTAATTTGAGACGATTCTCATCATTTATGGTGATTTGCAACTGAATCTGCATTCAGTAGAAGCAAAACAATTAGAAGCAAAAACCCAACGAATATGAGAGCCGTAAGATAAGACATCTTGTACTCAAGGCATGAATTCTCATTGTATGAATTATTGGGTGCGAAGAATACTCAATGGATGAATGGGTGACTTTAGAATGTAATATTGCGCGATTTTACAATTGTATATATTCTCGTGTCGTTGTTTGATGTGCATAAATATTTAAAATGTTCTATCAATTATACGATCTCTATGAATTTAGGAAAATGTAAATGAAATATCTTAATATATATGCTGTATTTGCCATACATCTTTTATTTATTTATTCATTCATGCGTCCGTTAGGTAAATTAAAAAAAATGTTCTGAATTATCACTCTGTTTGCAATTACATCGAAAAACTGACAGATTCATTAAGCTCAGGCAAGAAAAAGATGCATCGAGTAAGGAAATAATAATAAGAAAGAATATTCCCTAAATTAATATTTGAATAATAATTGTATATGAAACACTCAAACAATCATTTTTTGGGCCTCTCTGCGTATCTTCCTGTCTAACAATGCGATAAAATTCGGACTTACAAAAGTTTTCTGACGTATAGCAGCCCAGCTATTGGAAGCAAAATACGTTTCTTAGCTGAAGTGAATCTCACGTTCTATGAAAAATTACACCAGATTTACTGCGTTGTTTCTACTTTGATTACAAAGAATTAATGAAAATTCTTTGGCAAGAATGAATAATGAATGTGAACAATTAGCACCGAAAGTCACGCGAATTTGGCAGACATTTTTTTATGAAAAAATTCCGTGGCTCTCAGTGCTCTTCTCATTTCATGAAAAAAATTACAGACTGGACATTTCCGTGACATTCCAAATCCAATTAAATTGCTAAATTTAGTGGTTAAAAAATTTATCTTCATTATGCATCCTAAATATTTATCGATAAACTCCGAACATTAAAAAAAATATATTGTAGATATTCAAACGTGAATTACCAACATTGATTTGCCGATTGCCATTAATTGTTGAATAGAAATGTCGCACAAACGGCCGGGAATAATATGTTAAGTTATTCAAACCTTGTAATGAAACCATACAATAACAGTCATTTCGATTTAACACTTCACGAGAAAAATGTAAGACTGACCAATACTTATTTTCGCGACAATTAATTGCAATACTTTGATCTGATTTACATAAATAGTCGCGTCTCGAGTGCAGCTACTTGCCTATTATTTATTTAGTTATGAATAACATTTTACATGGAATGGTATTAGTACTGAACTAATTAAATAAAAAAGTGGTTTAGTTGATCAAATATGCATTGTAAACTCTGATGGTGGTCTGACTATGAACGCATACGAATGCATGCAGACACTAGAAAATACTGAGATAAGCGAAATTCACTGATGAAGTCGAGTCAGTGGAACGGTGTCAGATTATAAAATTCAACACGTCACTTTTGCCAGACGATAACACTTTTCTTATACCTAACACTTGGCCGGTCAGCCAAACACGGCCAACTAATCTGCTGCAATCCAGTCTCGCACCAGGAAAAGCGTTTGTGAATGGAAGGTCCCTCTGTGAAGGGAATCCATCATGTAGGGCTATTTCTGTATGGATCAGACTGGGTTCTTGCCTCGTGCTGACTCTACGTCAGCTTGGACAAACAAGATTAAAGGCTGCAGCAGATTGGTGTTTGCTCCTGTGTTGACCGGGACCCGGTCTCACTTGCCCTGATTTTAAAATCAAGTGAAAGTGTTCAACTGCGCCATTGTTTGTTCCTCTGATTTAGTGAGCGACGAGTCGCTGCTTACAAGCGTAGTCGCACAAAATTAGTAGAGGAAAAATTAGGTTTCAAAATTTCACAGGCTCAAATTTAAAGTCATTTTTTCTCAACAAATACAGGTATTGTTAATAACTTTTTTTAATGATCAGTAAACTTCTCTCGACAGTTAAGAACAACAATCTTCTTTTTGAAACGAATACTTTTAAAATTTGTAAGAACTAAAAAAAATTTTCCCGGAATTAGTTACATTCTGAAGAATTTAACATGAAAGCATAAATTATCTATAACAATTTCGGAACTCGCTGGCACTCGTGGAAAAGCGAGTGGATCATGCAACGCTTGCTGCATGGATTTACTGCGATATAAATTAGCTCGTAAGGCCTTGCATGTTCATTTATGAGCCTCTAACCAGCAGACTTGATGTCTCGAAGTTTTGTAGGCAGGCAAATGCAAAGACCTACTGGCCAGCTGCAAGTGCAAACAA